CTATGATGACAGAAATGAGGATCAACATGACAAGTTTTCAGCCAAGTTGGATGACTTGAAGGAATTTCCTGGAGGTGGTGAACCATGCTTGGCTTCTTATTTTGTCATATAAAAGTTGCTGGTAAGGCATTCCAACCAGGCAGACCTTTTATCAAATAATTAAGATAACTCAGTCAGTTGAGGTGACTAGATTTAATGAAACGGTGAAAACATAGGAAGTTGAAAATCTAAAAACACAATTGTTTCCTGAAAGAGAAATATGTAAAATTACTACATTGCAAACATCAAATAAATCACTGAAACAGAAAGGGAATACGTGTACCCTACAGAAAGTCTTCCTGTTTCAGATAGTGTTTCCAGACATCCACAGTGCATCTTAACAGCCAGCAAGACAGATTCAAGCACATGAACAAATGCAGAATCCTATCCATATTTGCCCTTGAACTATAAGAAAGGGAAAGTATAGGAACACAGTCAGAGGATGGGAAATCTGTGCATTAAATTGATCAAGAGAATAAACACTTATTCTGTGCATAAGTCAACCCAGATGAGCCAAACTCAATTGCCAAATTTAAGCCTCTCATAGTTTGGCAAAAGTAGCAAAGATGAATGTTTCTTCGTGCAGTTATATGGTTATTTTTGCTAGGAAAATAATGCCCTTAAAACCATGATATGGAGACTATTAAAAATGATTTTGTGAAAGTTATGACAAATTACTGAAATTCTAGTCTTCAATTGCACTCACTATAAAAGAATACTAGTATATGTTTTTGAGAGAATTAAAGGGTATAATGTAAAGCAGGCAAAGGTCTTTTTGTGTATGTTTAAAAAAGCATCAAGTAGACTTTGAACAAGGTGAAATAAAAACAATATGGCCAGAAATCATAAACCCCAATTTTATTCTAATTTTCTATTGTTCTGCATATCAATCTCCATCTGCTACTCGTGCCTCCTGCTGCAATGAAAAAAATTAACCACTGGATGTAATATAGAAAGTTGCTCAAAGTCCCCTTTTAGTAATGGGCAGTGCAAAGATGACATGATTTTCTTCCTCGACACCTTGCACTCTAATCTGCTTATAATTGAACAATATTTGAAGGCAGTATGTATCATGTGCCTTGATAGTATTTATTTAAAAAGTTCTTTTAGACAAATTGTAAGTTTACATGATTCACATTCCTGTTTGCACAAGTGTATTTTTTCATACTGTTGAGCATTCCTTTTTTTTTTTTTGAGTTATTATATATTTTATGAAGATAAATGTTGAAAACATCCATGCATGCTGTTGAAAATTGAAAAAAAAGAAATGTATATCATTATTGTTCTTCTCTAAGGCCTGTTTAATTAAAAGGTTGTTAATAACTAAATTGAAAAAAAATCAACATTATCAAATTTAATTTTTTCATAATTGTTAATGCTTTCTTGGAATGTTATAATTACTGTATAATCAGGTGTAAGCAGTTATTGTGTTCAGAACCTTAAAAGTGCAATATTTATCTGTATGCTTTTATAGCCCTTGTTATTTTGTTAAAGAATTCTAATATGGCATGTTATTTTGATGATCAAAGCATTTTAAAAGTAACACAATTAGATTTTTAAAAAATGTATGTAAAACTGAAAATGAATTTTGTTCTGTTATATATTTCATTTTTTTTTTTTTTTGTACGTTAGATGTTGTCTGAATCTCAATTATTCGTTATGTTTCTTGCTTCTGTGATGAGGAAAAAATATATAAATCTTAAGGTAGGATTCTTCTCATATTTCTTGTATTTAAAATTAATGTAATTTTCACAGAATCAAGAAGACAATATCACTAAGTGATGGTATCAGTGAGATTAAATTTGACTGTTTCATATTAGAGGCAAGGTCAGGTCAAGGTCATTATCTTTTTCCTGGACATTGATAGTAAAAAATAACTGTTGCCAATTATGCGATCCCTACTTGTATTTCAAAAGACTGAATGTTTTTCTTTTTGCCTAAAAAGATACTATCATAAAGGGCTTTTATGATGATATTACCAAATTGACATAAATTAAGTAAAATGGATATTGGCTAATCCGAATTTTCTCTACTTTTCCTATTTTTTTAAGATAAATTAGTAATTTTTATATGCTTCCTATATTAAAATTATTCTCATTTTCACATTGTGCAAGTTGTCACATAAAGATACAAAATGATACAAAAACAAAAAGTTTTGATCCTTTGCTAAGAAATACTTTTTACGTATTTTTGGCTCAAATCTGTACTTAGATGGGAAGCTTTTAAATACTATAGTTCTAGTTTGTTTGAAAAGATCATATTTATTTGATGTATTTAGGAAAAATATAGTCCCTGCTAGTTTTCAAACGTGGTTAACCATTTCTATTTAAAGTTGTGCAGTTATGAGGAAAGAAAAATATGGTCTTTTAAATCTCTTACACCTAAATATATAAGACATATAGGCAAATGTACTTTGGATATTTCATCTAGTCAGAAACGAGAGAAGAATCCTACCTTAAAGTAATCATGTTATGGATGACTTGTCCATGATAATTGATTCATTACTCCTTCGAGGTTGTTTATGTTTTGGAACACCTGTAGGCTTTCCCTCTGTTTATTTCAAAGTGAACCTACATGTAGAGTGAGAGTTGAAGAAAAACGGTAACTTACTAACACTGGTTTCTCCCATACGTGCTCTCTCTCTCTGTTAGGTATACCCCGGTATGTTGATAAGCGCAGAATTAAGCAGCCAATGAGAAGATTGTCATTTGTCAGTTTTACACAAACCAAAATGAATTTGAATAACCGTATCTATATTGGATTCCAAAATTTCATAAAAATCCTTAATCTTAAAAGATACATAGCGGGTCCAGTAAATGTTCAACCAAACTTCTCTTTATTCCTTACTCAGATATTAACAGTATAGTAAAGGAGAAACTTGAAAAGTATTGTGCAACGATATGTTCGAGAAGTGGTGTAAATCAGATGAAAAAAAAAAATTTAAAATCCCAGGGAACTTTTGGAAAATTTGAATAACAAGAATTAAGAATTATGAACAGTTTGAAAACTTGTGACTTTTCAACTTGATACACAACCATTCCCCACAGTAAATTAAAGTCCGGGTTTTTTGATATCATTGACAGATGCTTTTTCAATAAAAATGGAACTCCTAAATTCACTTACCTTGTCGTTGGTCATTTGCAAAATTATTTTGTTAAAAATATTAATTGTAAACACAAGTACAGTGTACTCTGAAGTTGACATTAAAAAGATGGTTGAGTTGCTGATTGACAATATCTATGTGGTTTTTGGGGCTCAGGTCTTCCAACAATTGGAATTCTCATGGGTACCAATTGCGCTAAAATTTTAAGCAGACCATTTTTTTATTCGTATGAAGCAGAATTTGTTCAAATTCTTTTACGTGAAAAGAAGAAAACACTTGCTGTGGCCTTCAACGTCGTTGGAAACCCACAGGTGATCTCGTCTTTACTTATCACCCGTGGGCAAACTCGCCGAAAAATCATCTTATGTAATTAAATATGCATGGGTCATTTGATTGGCCGCTTCAAAGAGTCGCGATGCGAAACAACGAATCACAGTTCACGTTACGTATGCATGTTCGGCATTGCCAAAAACATGAAAAACTCATTCCGTAGTTAACACAGCTGATAAATCCACTCACCGGTGCATTTTGCAGTTAGAAAGAGGTACTCCTTCATAATATCTGACGGATATTAATGTCAGTGACCTGTACGAATCAAACTTCGCACGTTTTAACGAGCGTCAAAATATTTACCATAAATAGCAAAGTAATAAACGTATTTTTCAAAATTGAAGAGTTCCAACTTTCTGATTGGTTGACTAAAAACAACAAATAAGCATATTTTACGCCGATATTTCAGCTAGTTTTCCCACGGCAACGGGTGATAAGTAAAGACGAGATCACCGTGGGTTTCCTACGATGGGCCTTCAACTCAACAATAAGATATATCGACGACATATTGTCAATTAACCATCGTTATTTCCATTCTTATATCGATACAATATATCCCAGTTAGCTTAAGATAAAAGATAGCACAAAGTCTGAGAAATCTCTTTCATATTTGGATATTTTACTTGAAAAAAGACGTTAATAATGGAAATCTAACAACCAAGCTTTATGATAAACGTGATGAATTAAACTTTTCAATCGTCAACTTCTCTTACTTATGCAGCAAGATACTTCCATCACCTGCATACGGAGTTTATATCTCTCAGTTGATCCGATACGCAAGAGCATGCTCTACGTATAAACAATTTCTAAAATGAGGTAAATTATTACAAACAAGTTGATGAAACAATAATATCAGCAGTCTCGGTTCAAGTCATCAGTTCGTAAGATCTATGGTCGATACAATAAACGTGTCAGCAAATACAATTTATCATATAAAGTCAAATGCTGACTGACCTTTTTCATACTGATTGTTAGGCCATTGTTTACATACTTAGTTGTCCATGGATTTTCCCTAACATGACAAGAAGCACATGGCAGGTGTGGCCTGGATGTTCACCCCTCCATGGCACCTGATCCTTCCTCTGATGTTTTGGAGGTCCTTGATTGCTCCGCTCCTTTTTTGTAATGTTTAATGTCGAATACTGTTCGTTATCTCTACATATTTCATAATTCTCAAAGGATAACCTGAATTTCCTCGTTGCAAATTTACACAAGTAAATTAATAAAGTTTAGAAATATATAATGGCGAATGAAGAAATCGCTGTCAGAAGAATTTTTTAAAGGTGTTATTTAAAAAAAAATATGACAGATCGAAAGGTAAATACATATTTACTTGTAAACAACTCATCAGTTAAATTGATATATCAATAGCTCATGTTATCCCATTAAAATAAGGTCTAAATAATAAATCTTTGGAAATATTTGAATGATAATAGCTGTCACAAAGCCAGATGTTGCGTTTTTTTACGACTGTTTCCTCATCCTACTTGTGTATAATATATAACCTGAGTAACATAGCTTTATTGTTACATAATTTGGATTCGTCTATTATATTCAGAATGGTGAACGCGCTCCTTTTAGTTATAATTTCATTGTTTATTGTAGACTGTATATCATTCAAAATGCTTGGTAAGTTACTTTATATTTAAACAATTGCATTTATGGACAGTGTCATTTTAGGAAGAATTCTAAAAGAGTTTAATATATTAAACCAAAAGATGGACTTCGTGGCAAAGATTAACTTGTCATAAATTTTACTTCTCCTTTTAATGAATTTCCTGTAAAAATGTCTAGAAATTCACATAATTTCTAATTTTAAAAAAATCATTTCAGGGAAAAATTGTTAATTTTCCATTACAATATTATATATTCCGCGTTAATGATGAAGATGTAAAAATACATGTTAGTATAATTATTAAAATTACCAGTAAATAATGAAAGAGTTCTCACAAAAGAAAATTTATGAAATGAACAAGAGAAACATAGAACTGTATTGTATACATATTACTTTATAAGAATTTAATCTTAATTTCTTTCAGATAAATTTGACTGCGCTCTTCCCAGTCAGTATAGAATGAAAGCATGCCTGAACAAGGACCCCTGTTGCTCTGTTCTGCCCGTGTTCGAAAAGGACTGTTTCACAGGATGTCAGTTGGATTGTCGGAGTAAGACGCTTTTTGTCATTCATAAATTTCTTCTTGAATTCATTTTATTTGGCAAATCTTAACCAGACCTGAAATGCCAGTCAAAATTAGTTATACTGATCTAAACAAATATTCATCATCAAAGATGTACTCGAAACAGAAGTATTGATCGGTTGTGCATTATAAGATTAACATTTTTAAATAGTTTAGGTTATTATAGGCGGTAAATAATCATTAATGGAGGGTGGTTTCTTTTTTAATGCTGTTATATAATATAAATCTATAATGTTTAAGTATATAAAATTGTCCTCGTTGTTGTTAATTTGAGCATCTGAAGCCTTAATCACTCTATGAAACATAGTTTTTGTAACCCTGTTTCCATTTTCAGATTCTATTTTCTGCAAGCGGACTTGTCCTGTTTTAGAAAAGTCTGAAGTACAGGACTGCGTCAATACCGATCCGTACTGTTTTGTTGAAAAAATAATTCAACCTAAAGATGGCAAGGAGTGCTTCAGTGGTTGTATTAAGGCCTGTTCCTGATTACTTCTGTAGACTTGACTGTGTTACTAATCATAGCTTTCTGTGTAATTAAAACTTGTCTAACACGGATTTATATTTTTAAGGATTAAGGATAAAAAGTTGCCTACTATAAGCAGTGATTCTGTATATGTTATTATTAGAGTTATATTAATAGCATTATACTTTTATCCAAATTTTAAGATTTTTGATGATTTTATCACACATCTGGAAGGCCGATGTTTAAATAGAAGGTCCTTGAGAGATTCAGTTTTCTCTTCACGGTTCAGAAGAGGATGAAATCGGTTATTTCTGATTAAATGCCTAACAAGGAGCCCAGTTGACTGTACTTTATAGATGGTAGAGAGTATACTGTAAACGTATTATATTTGGCGGTGTATTCTTTTTAGTGCTTTTGGCGGAAAGATGCTTCAGCTTAAACATGAATAAGAATATCAAGAAATGCGCCAAATCAAATCGACGCAACTTGTTTAAAAATCACTTTCCGCTAAATATCGTACACGCTAAAATTTAATATAATACATTTACAAAATATCAGTACTACAGTATCTCAAATTAGTCGATACATTTGACTACTCCTATTACATGAGCAAGTATTTGTATCTAGCCTCATGCTTCAACTCGTACAAAAGTGTCGAAAAATAAATTTCTCTCGTTATAACTAATTGGACTATTAGCTAACTTTATTATAAGTAAATAATTAAGTAATGATGTATCCACAATCAGTTTTTACGCAGTAGTTGCACTTAAAGTGCATAAAAACTTACAATTTGTTGCATTACGAAAATGACAGTTATTATTGTCATAATAACCCTAATGAACATTTTGGGCATTTATTAATGATGGTTCTCAAATTCAGCTGTTGCGTTGTTTAACTGCCCGTGTACTGGGTTTCTGAACTGTGTATATATTATAAGTTAACAGCACTGATATGAGATTATAGATTTCAATCCTTCTCCTGCTTGTGCATAGTTGATCATAAATAAATTCCCATGGAGATGTACACTTTTTATTTGATTTTTGCATTCATCGTTGGAAGCCGTGCATCGGATTTCGAACCTGGTAAGTTTTTTTTCTTTAAACACTAAAATGAGGATAAAACACTCATTATATTACTTGTGTATTCCATATCTTTTAGAACGGTAGTTTTCCTTCTAATTTGAATTGATGATTTTTTTTTATTCTTACTGTCCTTTTATCTTGTACAAACTATCGGTCTAGTGAAATCAATGACTATATCCCAAAAGAGGATAAAAAGTACCGTATTTTGACATTGACATACCACCTACATTGTAAGTATCAGTCATATGATAAAAGCCATCCACTGTAATAAATATTATACAATTTTTACAATTTTAACAATTTATTTATTAAAATGGGATATCTACAACAACCTCATAATAAAGTCTTTCTTTTTCTTAATTTTTTTAAAAGGAAGTTTGAATTGCGTTCCACCTGCTCGCTATAAAATGGAAGCTTGCCTGAACAGTGATCCGTGTTGTTTCGTTTCCCCGGTGTTTGTAAATGGCTGCTTTCGGGGATGTCAGGTGGCATGTCATAGTGAGTCTTTCTTCCTTTGATTTATTTTATTAAAACAAGAAAAAAAGACTTTTAAAATTTTTTTAAACAATAAAATACTGTAACGTGCAAGGGAGGTCACTGCCTGTGAACCCCCGCAGGCTCGTACCCGTGATAAAAACGGATAGCCTTGAGATGCTGCAAATATGTACAATGCGCAGTCTTAATCACTTGGTACTGCGTTATATAAGGTCTTTACTGGTAGCGAACAAGTGACACTGGCAGGGAAGTCCACACACCAGCGCACTTCCACAAGAGACAAGCAGGGATGACCGCACACTTGCCCTTGCGCAGTGACAAGCAGGGATGACCACACACTTGACACTAATACGGTCTAGTCTAGAGACACTGGCAGGGATGTCCGCACACCAATGCTCTACCACAAGATGAAGGCAGGGATGTCCACACACCTTATCTTGCGCAGCAACAAGCAGGGATGTCCGCACACTTGCTGCTAAAAGATGCCAGTCACAGAGCAGGGATGACCACACACTCTTTCAAGCAATAAGCAGGGATGACCACACACTTATCACATTACAATGTAAGCAGGGAAGTCCGCACACTTACATGTACCAACTAGATTTGTCGAGATTTACCTGTAGAACCTTTCTCGCAATCCTCGCCAGTAAAAATCCTATATATCCTAACACCATCTAAAATACTTAGTGATTATTTATTTACAAAGTAATTAAAACACGAATCAAGCTTCCAATCAACCAATCTTTAGTAATCCAACTAGTGTAACATACAAAGATTATTATTGATAACTTTAATTCAAATTCAACACTAATTAAGTATTTATTTTCGATGTATATAATTAGTAATTAAAAATACCAAGGGCGATAACTTTCGCTATAATAAAAATATAGGGAACAGCTTTCCGTTTCAATACTTTGTTTCTTTTTCTGTGGCTGACCACATTTTGACTTTCTCTTTTTCACATGAGATCCGTGGTTTTGAACCACGATAAGTATGGCTTGAATAACCATAAATGACAACCTGAACACCGAGTGATTTCTATGAAACTTTATTTAACGTTTTTATGTTTCTTTTTTAGATTCTATACTTTGTCCAAGGATATGTCCAGTTTTGAAAAGGTTTGATATCGAGAAATGTGTCAATTCCGATCCCTACTGCTTCGTCCAAAAATTAACTGACGTGACAAGATCGGGCAGAGTGTGTTTTAAAGGCTGCATGATGGCCTGTCAGTGAACTCTGATTAAGATTTTTTTTTATCCTGAATGTGTTTTTATTGATAAAAACAATGTCATGAATTGCAATTTGAGATCTTAGATCAAGATCTTATTTGTTCATCCAAAAACGTTCCGATGTCGTATTCGTATTTGTATTAGGGATTCCCAATCTGAGTTTTTCACCTACCTTTGCTAAAAGTATGCGTGTTTATAACTAAAATTCTTGCATTTAATATGTTCAATCACTCTAATTTTTATGCCCCCCTTCGAAGAAGGGAGGGCATATTGCTTTGCTGCAGTCTGTCGGTCTACTTAGTTTCCGTTCATTTACTTCGAAACCGTTGCACATACTGAAATGAAATTTGGTATACTATACAGATATATCATATGAACATCTAGGTCAAGTTTAACAAAATTTTTCAATATGAATGGGTCTTCGCTCCATTTTTTAAAAAAGATAAACCTAAAGGTTTGCGATAAAATAAATATTTTTTGGTTTACAAAAAAATGGAGCAAAGACCCACTATACCTTAAAACAACACTTTTATGACAAAACATTCGCATCTTTCCGAGAAATATTTCAAGTCCATTAAGTCTAGAGTCATATCACAAACATGATTTAAATGACCCCAATCATTATGATCCATGTAGCATAGTGGTTAGCGCGTTAGTCTCAAAGCAGTATGATACTTCGGTATTTTATTGCTGGGATTCGAATCCCACGTATACCATCTAATATTTTTATATATGACATTTTTTCAAGAGATTTATTTTCTCTCAGAAATTTTTTTTTCTCATAGTTTCATAAATTTCAATAACGAGACTCATAGTGTCATAAATTCCATAACGAGAAGTAAATTTAAATTCTCAATTTACGTATTAAATGTGATTTCTTGATATCTAACGCTATAGGCATTCTGCCCGCCTTATCCCCCAATCTTCTTCCTATTATATGGTCCCTAATTGCTGTATTTCTGATACATGAAGCTGACATACTGTATATATGTTACGTATACATATGCTTTCAAGCAGAAATGATTGAAAAACTAAACTTCCACCGCAGAAGAAAACTCTTGCTGTGCCTTCAACTACAAATTCAAATACATCGTCTGCGTTTTATTAATTATCAATCATAGGTACTTCAATTCTTATGTCTACTCGATGTATCACCGTGATTTCGAAATAAAGTGCACCACAAAACCTGCAACACCTGCTTCGTATTTGGATGTTTACTGACAATAGAGGATAAATGCCAACTAACGACGAAATAATATGACAAATGAGGACGTCAGCTTTCCCATTGTCAGTTCTCCTTATTTATGTTGTAATAATCGGTTACTAGTATCACCAGCTTAGTCACAATAGTGTTTACATACGATACTCAAAAGCATGTTTGAATTTTGATAAATGGAGGCTACTGACAAACGAGTTTAAGTTTAAAAGGACTTCAAACATCACTAGGTCAGCCTTTTGTAAAGAATATGGGGGAACAAGACGGGCAGAATGCCTATAGCGTCGGATATTAAGAAATCATATTCAATATGTGAATTGAGTAATTAAATTAGCTTCTCATTATTGAAATTTATGAAATTATGAGAGAAAAAAAATCTCGTAAAAATTTTTCCTTTATAAAAATATTAAATGGTATTCGTGGGACTCGAACCCTAGCAATAAAAATCTGACGCATTAAACTCCTTTGAGACTGACTGCTACATGGCTCATGCTGATTTTAGGCATTTAATGTTATACCTTAAAAGTACACTTTTATGACAGTGGGTCTTCGCTCCATGTTTTTGTAAACTAAAAAATGTATATTTAATTGCAAACTTTTAGGGATTGTCTTTCAAAAAAAAATGGAACGAAGATCCACTCATATTGAAAAATTTTGTTGAAGTATGAGAAAATTGTCGTTTTTGTTCTTTTTAGTGTTTGTATGCTTTTTCATAGGCAAATATTTCCAGTCTTTGTGACATTTATGTAAATTGTAGAGATTTTACTTGAATTATACTTTAATATTAGATGAAATATCAAATAAAATTAGGATATAATTGAGATTAAATTTTTACCTTCTTATCTGCCGCACTATATGTAGGCACTTCGTCCGCCTTATCCCCTCATCTTCTTTCGTAAATTCTACACTAAAAGATATACATAACAAACAAAAATTTGAATACCTGGATTGGTATATATATTTTTAATACTTATTTTGCTTGTAAATGATACGAATAAAAAAGGTTTTAAAATATTAAGAATTTTAAAACTTGCTACATTTATGATGATCAAAATTCAACCTTTTTGCAACCCTTCTTATTAATATATACAGATTTTCTTAGCTTAAAACCCTTTACTGTGAAACCTTGGATGAAAAAGTAAAATCCAAGCGGTTAAAGTTATTTATTTTGCTCATGATATAGATACAATTAGGTTGTTATTTTCAGGATTTTTTATTAGAGTTTCTTTTATCATTTGCCCTTAAAGTATATATTTTTATTGAATTAATACAAACTATTTTAAGAGAAACAGTACATCTAATTATGAACATAATTATGAACAATATTTTGACATATGATACATCATCTGTTACACCATCACGAGAATAGTGATATAAAAGGAGTGATAATAAAAAGAGAAACATTCTAGTCTTGCATGTAAGTTTGGAGGAGTAGTTAACAACCTATAGGTTTTTTTTCAAAAGTAAGCAACACCGAAATCAGCATGTTCAAACCTTTGGCTTTGATTCTGTTGATTCTATGCTGAAGAGTCATGTGACCGGAAAGAAATGGAGGACACTAAGAGTGTATTCGATTAAGACAACCCGTGTCGCACTAGTGTTAAATATGCGCATGCTCACTGATTGAACTCTAGTGATCTAAATAAAACATCTCGTGTTGTTTAGTGTTTGTATAAGTAAGGCGGGGAAAAACAGTATATTCCCTGTACATGTGGTTTGTTCAGGACAAACAATTGATTTACAAATAATATCCAATACTCAAATAAAGAATAGCAGATAATTAAATACAAGACCTCAAAGCTGAAACTAATTGTTCAGCAAAATGTATTTTTTTTTACAGATACAACATGTATTTTATAGATTATTTATCCTTGCAATATTTTTTTTAACAAAAAACAAAGTAGAATAAGAATGTCTTCACATACATACATGTCAATAGTATTAAATATTATTGTGACGTACCATCGTTTTTAAAAAGGGGGGGGGGGGGCAAGCCAGAGAAAAAAAACCGAAACTCCTATTTAGTTAGAGGTGGATTATGTAGGTCCCACTTCCTTCAGCATCAAATTCTATTCATACAAGACGACTTCACCCATGCTTGGCTTTACTGTAACGAAAAGGGAGAGGAAGCTATCGGTGGTCTTTCAATGAAGATTTTTTAAAAGTAAAGAGATGTTTGGGGGGAAAAAGCGTGGGGAGCGCTTCCACCAGCTGCTACGTGCCTGTATTCTCTCCCCCGTAACATTTTGCATGGGGTATAATAATTGGTCAATGTAGTACCATAGGTGACATTTTTTCATTAATATAGTGTTAGTCACAGGATGTGAGAGACAAATACCTCCCGGTACTTTTACCAAAAAATGTGACGCCGGTCGGAAAGAAAACTTGAGCTAATGTGTTTATTTCATGGTCTTATATGGCTTTGGATTTTAATTTTGAGTCTGTAAAAATAATGATCAATTTTTCAACTAAAATTATTTTTGAAAAAATACGCATGAAATTGTTCAATAATTATTACGATGTAATTAAAGGCTGAAAAGGTAATTTCTATTTACTTATAACATTTATTGTAAACAAGAATCGGTTGGTTCTGGGGACCCGACCTCCATATTCATAAAGATTACATCGTAATATATATGCATGTAACTGTAATTGCTATCACATTTGATCCTGTAATTATCTTAAACTGAATTATTAATAATAATAATTTAACTTCATAAGGTAATTAACACGACATATCTATGCTGGAATTGTTAAATTTGATTAGTGAATCAATATGCATCTTTTAGATGCACCTTTTAGACATTTTTGTAATCAAGGGGCCCGTTTTACAAAAGAACACCTAAGACCAAAATTTAATTCTGCGATTTTACTCTTCTTGAAAAGAATTTAGAATGATATTTTATGGTAACAATTTAAAAAACAATTGATTTTCAAAGAATTTAAAATCAACATAAGTTTTTTGTTTTATTCGTAAGTTCTTTTGTAAAACAGGTCCCAGGGGTTCGGGCAACAATTATAGGCAGATTTAAAAAAAAAATGGATAAACTTCTTTATTTAAAAAAATATATATAAACTGTCAATGATTACACAACAGTAATTCAGTAATTTAAAGAGGTTGACCTAAAAACTAAAAAAAAAAAAAAAAAAAAAAGGGAGGGATGTCAAAATTATAATGCAGACATTTTTCATTGACGTTGTAAATTTCTAATACAAACACTGACAAATTTATGCAGAAACAGTTTTCGCATTAACAATGCGTCTTCACTTCCCGCCATTTCTTTTACCTGTTACTCCAGGTAAACTGGGGAGTATACTCGTGTAACACGAGTTGATCACCCGTGTCGAAGATAAGTTGTTTTATTTACAACTCTAGTGACTCGTGTAACCCGTGTCGCTTAATCGAATATACCCCAAATGCAGCCTCTGTGAACAACGGAAAGAAAGTCGACTTACTGGTATGACAAACAATTTATAACACATTTTTTGTTAATTAAATGATTGTATATTGCACTATAGTTACCACTTCCATTTTTTAAACCAAAAATACTGTTCACACAATTTATATATTGTATTATATATTAAAAGTACACGAGTAGAAAAATATTCTACATTCTTATAAAATAAAAGTTGGATTACAAATAAAGATTGTTTACACAATTATAATGAACCAATGTTGATTTGTATATTTCTATTGCAAGGAGTTGCATTTTATGCCTACATGTCGAGAAGTGTCATGGTCAAAACATTTTCCAAACACAAAACATTTAAACAATAAAATGCTTTCTTTGTTTGTTGTTATTGGAATGA